CATGATAATAAGGTATTTAGAGTGGCCTTAAATGCCTTTTTACATTCAAAATCCTTTTATACTTTGGATGAATATTTTGGTTGTATAAATGAGTAGTAATTTACTATGTTCATTCAATATTGCATGCATTGTTTGGATGTGCAGTTGTACATTCAAGGATATTGCACTGATACCTGCATTGTATATAGCAAGCTTATACCTTGACTGGTTTTATTTGGTATTGAACATGTAAGATATTATCGCCAACTTGACTGGTATGCCATGTAACAAACATACCTCATTATAGTTGATGGATGTTGTGATCTTTTATGGTTTGAGATATATAAGCTACTAAGTTGAATGAATTTATTATGTAATGTGTTTTTATTACAATTTTAACTTATTTTATTTACAATTAAACATGGTATAGTGTTATGTATATTTTAGGTTGATGTATATTTTATGTTGACTAGTTCCATTGTTGGAGCATTTGTTGAAGATATTTGACTTGTTCTGTGTCCAGTGGTGTTGGCCTGTAATTGGATTTGCTTGAATGCAATAAATACTATACTATACTATACTATTTGCATTGATTAATGTCCTCACCTTTTAATTAAATTTTGGTTTGAAATTTCTTAAAATTATGTAATTCTTGCACCTCAATTAGGGGCATCTGCCTCTTGTCCAAATGATATAGTTCTGTGTTGCTGCTTGGTGTTCGTGTGTTGCTTCTGTTCATAAACCCTCTCTTTGTGTTATCATTTGTTCCTTGCCACTGTGTATGATGTTACCTCTTATGTGTGGACATGTCATATGGAAGAGAAATAAAAGTGAAAATAGTTGCATTGAGGACTAAATATATTGTGCTTCTGCAGGACAAATTTGATTAGTCAGACTTTTTACTACAAGGATAAGTCAATAAGTAAGTTACAAATGGATATAGAACTTAAACAAATAAGAGTACTGAAGAGAGTCGTCTTCTGGGTTTAGGCACCGTGTATTCTTCGTGTTGGCCGACGTTTCGGAGGAACGTAGCGCCTCCATCTTCAGAGCAGTTGAATGGCTTGGAATGCAGAGAGCAGTAGCTGTGGTGATAGGATGTGAGAGGCGCTGCTTATATACGAAGTAGGCAAGGGGGGTGGTTAGGGAGAATGGACCAATGGGAGCAGTGGGGAGCGATTAAGAACATATATGGTGTGTGTTGACTAAGGGAGGGGGGGAACGGCCAGTGAATTCAGGAAACTTGAGGTCAATAGCACTAGGAAGTGCGGTAGTCAAGAAGAACCGGTAGGTTGAGGACAGGCTATTGACATCAATGACATGACGGAGAACTGGTGTGGCTAGTTGGATTCTCTTGAGGGAAAAGATGCTTCACGTCTGTCGAGATTGTTGAAAGCGATAAAGACCATATGATGTTGTGTGCTAAGTGGGGGGGGGAATGGCCAGTGAATCCAGGAACTTGAGGTCAATAGCACTAGGAAGTGCGGTAGACAAGAAGAACTGGTTGGTTGGGGACAGGCTACTGACGTCAATGACATGATACAGGGGGCAGGCTACTGACGTCAATGACATGACGAAGAACTGGAGTGGCTTGTTGGATTTCTCTTGAGGCAAGAGATGAGTGGCTTCCATGACTTGTTGAGATTGAACCCTGCTCTCGGCATTCCAAGCCATTCAACTGCTCTGAAGATGGAGGCGCTACGTTCCTCCGAAACGTCGGCCAACACGAAGAATACACGGTGCCTAAACCCAGAAGACGACTCTCTTCATTGTCATCGCTGTGAAAACCTCAAAACTTACAAATAAGAGTACTGATTTGAAAAATGCTTTTATTTCTCAACATAATCTCCCTGTACATTGAGGCACTTGTCTCATCGTTTCACAAGCCCCTAAAATCAGCAGCATAAAATTCTTTGGGCTGTTGTCGAACCAGGCGGTGACTACCCTTTGTACAGCTTCACTGTTGGGAAAATGTTCAGCCGAAAGATGATGTTTAAGAGGCCCGAACGAATGGAAGTCGCTTGGAGCAAGGTCAGGGCTATGCGGAGGATGCTCGAGGACTTTCCACTTGTAATTTCGCAGCATCTCATTTGTCTTGTTGGCAGTATGGGGACGCGCGTTGTCATGCAAGAGCAATGCGCCTTTGGTGAGGAGTCCTGATCACTTCCATTGAATGGCCTTATGAAGTTTCCTGAGGATGTTACAGTAGGAGTCGGCATTTACGGTTTGTCCTTGAGGCTGCAATGCCCGTGAGCAGTATGCCTTTGTGATCCCAGTCACTGCCTGGTTCTGACAGCAGCCCAAAGAATTTTATGCTGCTGGTTTTCGGGGGCTTGTGAAACGATAGTGCCTCAATATACAGGGAGATTATGTTGAGAAATAAAAGTATTTTTCAAACCAGTACTCTTTATTTGTTTTTAAATTCTATATCCATTTGTAACTTACTTATTGACTTTACCTACATATATTCTGTTCCTTCCCTTGCTGGTCTTGTTAAGACTATTAATATCTTATATATATATATATATATATATCTCACTTCCTTCTTAATTTAAATTAGTAATTATTTCTGTTATTGAGGGGAAATTTATTACCACAATTTCTTAATGACAGTCTACAGTTTGTCCCCCACACCCCTGCTGAATTGTACCTCAAACCTGCAGTTCCATTACAGCATAAAATAATGTGTTTAGCCTCTTCCTGCTGTCAGCACTTCTGGCTTTACTCTTGCTTCATGTCAGTTTCCAGACTCCTGTTGTACATAAACCATGTATCGATAGTGATTTTTGTCCTTCCTTTGCAACACTCAGTTTATGCCCCAGTTAGTGTAATTTTTAAGTACACATCACATACATTCATGTATTACCACATTTTATTTAGAATTCCTGGCTACAGATCCAAAGTTCCCAGGTTTGATTCCTGGCACTACCAGATTTTCTGAGAAGTAGTGGGTCTGGAACGGGGTCCACTTAGCCTCATGGTTTCCTCGCTACCTTCGCAGTTAATACTTCAATCAGAGGAACTGGTAAACAGTTCATTGTTTGCTGTTGTTGACGCATAAAAACAACTGAATCTCATAAACTTTATGATATTCTCTGAATTATCATTACTGCAAGAACTTGTAACTCGATTAGGCCATGAACGTTTCCTTCCAAATCCTTTCCAATTTATTCATCATCATACCATTTGACATATAATCTTACTAATCAAAGGGTCATAAAACAGCAACAAGCCAAGAGAGGACATTTTGACCTTTTAGTGTTATCCCTATATGTGTTTGCCCCCTTCATCTTCCAAACCTCAATACGTTTATTTCCTTCAGATTTTCCTGATGGAACTTTGTATGCATTTCATGTCAGTCCCATGCCTACTATGTGCCCTACCTCTCTCTGATTTGATCATTCTAATAATTTTTGGTGAGGAATACAAATTATGAAGCTTCCCATTATGCGATTCTATCCAGCTCCCTATTACTTAATCTCTTTTACCCCTTTTGCATCCATGCATTTTTTTGTGGATTAGTAAGAGATATTAACAAAGCATTGGAGATGATGCTCAACAATGCGAAATCATTTGGTAATACTGAAACAACATAATCAGAGCTATCATCTGGACTTCATCCTGCATATTCTGTTCATATTGTTTTTATATTGATCTGTCTTCACAACTGAATTACTTAACTGATACAATGATGTTAAATACCAATGAACCGATCTGTAAATAAAGTGTTAGCTGTAAGAGGAATGGAGAACTTCGTTGTTTGCAGTATGTGCACTAATAATATAAGGGCAAGGAAATCAATGAGAGAGAGAGAGGGAGAACATGAATATAAGGAATTTCTAGAATGTGATGCTATGTAGTTTGCTAGATAGCTACAAACTTTCAGGAAGAGCCTGCTGCCTTCATCTTCGTAGTAGGCGGAGGATGGAGGTACCTCATACACTAAGGTACCCAGCTACAAAATTACGCATTCTTGGAAGACTAATCTTAATATTCATGGCCGTCATAACTTCAAATCTCAGAGGTGGGATATGTATCACTTATGCAAAAAACCAGTGTACATGGTTTTTAATTGGAAATACTAAAGGAAGATGCAGGCATAGGTATAAAAATATTCTTTAATTGTAAGGTAAAGTTGGCACAGTCTGTAGTTAATTAAGCACTACGCCATGAAAAAGAAAGGATGACTGGAGGTATAGCTACTCCATTTCAAGGTGAGTTGTCACCTTCTTGCCCTGGCTGCATTATCCCCAAGAGAAAGAATCTACGGTAGCCAATGGACAGACGGGTGCGGAAAGGTGGTTGGAGCTTAGAGCTATGGTAGTTGAAGTTGACCAAATGTTACCACGGTTGAAGACTGTTTAGTGTCGCTCTGTGTTTTTATATGCTGTATATACCGCGTGTCTTGTGTTTGTTTTTGTTGCGATATGAATTGTGTTTTAATTATCTGTCTGTGCAGTGTCCTTTATTTTTCAGAATTGAAAGAGGAAATATGTCTAAAGACGCTATAAGTAGTTAAATGGCTGCGGTCTTATTGTGCGTAATGAATAACGTAGCATTAATCTGTGTGATGCAGCAACTAATTGAATTTTGAAGTAAACAGTGGGGTTTCATGGTGAAACATTTGGTGTAATAAATGTCATACGAAAAAATGCATCTTATTACGTTCATAAATGGAAATATGTGTTACGCGGTTTTGTTCAATGTGGTGACCTAACCTAACATTTCGAGGTCGTTGAATTAAATAAATTTAAAGGCTGACATTATAACTGTATAATACATAATCAAGCAGGGAATGTGTATAGGATCGAACGTTGATAGTTTACCCCAGACAGCCTCACAAAAGGAAACATTTCGTTTGTACCTTTAAAGAGGGTTGGGAGGACCTCAGATTGCTGGAGACTTCATGTTGGAATGTTAAACGCAGAACCAACAAAGACAAGTGAAGATTTGCGTTTGTGTTAAATGTAGGCCACAATTGGCAATGTGCATGAACAGTTACTTCTAATTTTTTATGAACGACAGGTCACGTTAGGTAAGAATAGTTTGCACCATGTTGTGTATGCATTTTGTGTGAAACGTTCACTTAATTAAAAAATCTATCCAACCTTTACTGGAAAATGGAAATCTAAATGGCTATATGGTGGCAAATTTACATGCTAAGAACTGAAGTCAGTGGAGTGCAGTTGATAATTTAAAGCAAAATGTACTAGGTATATCAACGGATACAAGCGCCAGAGTAAGTGTTAGACTGTATCATAACATGTCTTTTGCAATAACATGGGAGAGTGATAAATTTAAGTTTCAGTATTTATATTATATTTTCTGAACTGGAATGTTGAGGTAACTGAGAACGGATATTCTTGATTGATCGTTCAACTAAGTTGATATTTAGTGTATGAGTTTGGCTTTCAGAAGTAACATGCATAGAGTGTTAAAGATTTTCCAGCCTTTTTGTAAACATTGTAGTTGCAGTCTTTAGGAGTTAGTGTCTTTGGCTCAGGATGGTTGGAAACCCTTATATGGCATTAGACAGTGAGTGGGAGGTTAAGGTGTGATTGGACAAAACTGAGAAATGGGTTGCTATTCAGGTTAACATTTCTTATGCTCATTAGAGTAAAGAACAGGTTCTGAAAGAATTTTGTTATTGTTGGTTTAAGAGCCCATATATTTCTTGCAAGACTTGTTTTCTTGCATGGTACATAAATTCCCTTTCTTTAGTAAATCAGTATTACTCACTTCATTCCATTTTATTCAGTTTTATTATAGAATGTGAAATGTTACATATTTTACAGTCATATTGTTTACATGATAAATTTAACTTTGTCATGCTAGCTGCATGCTACAATAAATATATTTTTGTGGACTTTTGGTATTGTATAGGTTGACAGGTTCTCACAGCAGTACATATGAAGAGCTTTATCTTCTGGGATAGGATGCTGTGTAGTCTGTTGAAAGCTCTGGCCTTGCTTGCTTCATGCTGGTTTCATGCTTGGCTTGCTCTTTAGTCCCGAATGTGGGAGTTGACTTTCAGTGGACTGCATGGCGTTATATCCCAGAAAATAGAACTCATTTGTGGCATTGTACTTCAGTAAAGGAACTAGGCTTTGTATCAGTCTTCCATGAGTGATGAGACACGTTGTATAGTGACCGTTGAAGGCAGGCAAGACAGATACACTGAACAAAGCTAGGTTTTGTGACTAATGGAGACTGGGGCTGTGATTAGCTTACATTCAGACAACTTTTATTCATTGCTAATGTTAGAGTGTTAGTATACTCAACTGTGTCACTATGTGCATTTTACCTTCTTTACTTTCTACATTTGTATGCAGTCTTTGCAGAAATTGTATAAAGTGAATGCATAATTGAGAGGTCATGTCTGTTAATATGTATGTTTCATCTACTGCTTGATGGGTTTCAGTGTAATTCGGTATTCAGTTTCACTCAGAAAAGCAACTGGTAATATTAAGCAATTTAAACAGCATTGAAATGTTACTTACTTTCACACTCCTAATCCATAAATTATTTCAATTCCAACAATATTTCAATGTAAACAAACAGTAACTAATATCAGTTCTAAGCTAAAGTGTATTCCCAAGCATGTTACTGTATCATTTTGCTTACCTGCAGACTGTGCTTTATGTGCCCAATTAGCATGGTAATATTAATACTGTATTATAATCTTACTAACTTTTCCAGCAAAACTATTCTTGTGCAGATAGTATGTATTTGTTCTTGACTTGTTCCATATCCTCTGGTGTCAACCTCTACTTGAATTTACAGAATTTAAATAAATTCAAATTCAAATTCTGAATGATATTAGGCTAATTCATTCTGGGTGTACAGGAAGCAATAGCTTGCTGGTTGAGTTCATTAGAACTCTTTGTACTAGCATGGATGAAAACATTGTCATTCTTTTTCTTCAATTCAATTACATTTTCATCTCCAGAAATATGCTTTCAGTGTTATTTTTTCAGTTTTGTATAAATGGCTGCAACTATAAAATTTGTTTTTTAATTGTTTATATTTTTTCTACTACAGAGCTATGTAAAAAATATGAATCAATAATGTGTTCACAGCTTAATGTTATGTAACTAACAAACTACATGGAATGTGGTCTGTCTCGATGAGAATCTTGTAATCAGATTTTAGTGTGAATCTGCATTAGCAGATTTGGTCACAGTCCATTCCCTAGTGTTAGAAATTGAGCATATGGGAAGACAACTGCAACTTCCCCATTATTAGTGTACTTTCCTTTCTTAAGAAGGTAAGATTATGGGATCACCATGCTATGTGTGTATGTACCGTATGTCCAAAAAGTATGTGACTCTATTTTTTTCCACTGTAAGTAATGGCCAAAGGGTTGGGGAAACTGAGCGTAGTGGTAGAAAGGACTTTCATGCGCATGCATGATTTTTTGCTGACTCACAACACTGCCGCATGCGTCTGTGGCTGCCAGAGAGCGAAGTGGTGTAACATGTGTTCATCGCATTCTCGTTTCGCTCAAGAAGACAGAACGCTTGGAGCAGCGATACTGCATTAAGTTTTGTCAGAAACTTTGGGATACCGAAGCAGAAACAATTCGCAAAATTCAGCAGGCTTTCGGCGATGATTAAATGGGGGTCACTCAAATTAAAGAGTTGTTCAACCGCTTTAAACATGGCCGTATGTCGGCAGACAGTGAGCAGCATTCCGGGAGACTGTCAACGAGCCAAAATGCTGATGTTATTGAAAAAGTGCGGACACTGATCATGGAGGACTGTCGTTTGGCCATCCGTGAACTTGCTGATGAGGTCGGGATCAGCAGAGCTTCCGCAAACCCAATTTTAACTGAGGATTTGGGCATGCAAAGAGTGGCGGCAAAATTTGTGCCCAAGCTGCTTTCGCCGGAGCAGCAACATCTCCGCCTTGAGGTCGCGCAGGACATGCTGGAGTGCACCAACAGGGATCCTGAGTTCCTGAAGACTGTGATCACTGGTGACGAGTTGTGGGTGTACGGATATGACCCGGAAACCAAGATCTGGGCATCACAATGGAAGCATCCAACATCCCCGAGGCCCAAAAGAGCACAACAGGTTCGGAGCAATGTGAAGGTGATACTGACTGTTTTTTTTTATTACCGGGGTGTTGTGCATCATGAGTATGCACCACTAGGCCAAACTGTCAATAAGGAGTACTACCAAGAAGTACTCCGCCATCTTCGTGATGCAGATCGGCGCAAGAGACTGGAGCTGTGGGACGCGCGCAACTGGCAGCTGCATCATGACAATGACCCAGCTCATTCATCACACCTGATCCAGGGTTTCCTGGCCAAGCACGGCATTCCGCAGGTTCGCCAGGCTCCCCTGACATGGCTCCTTGTGATTTCTGGCTGTTCCCAAGATTAAAGACACTGCTAAAAGGCTCCCGTTTTGACAGACATCATACAGAACGCGATGGCACAGCAGCATGCCATTCCAAAAGAAGCCTTCCAGAATTGCTTCCAGTGATTGAAGGACCGCTGGGCTAAGTGTGTGGAGTCACAAGGGGCCTACTTTGAAGGCAATTAGGTATTGTAACCACCCAGATACAGAACTTTTTTTTCCTGGCTCAAGGTCGGATACTTTTTGGACAGAGTAGTGTGTGTATGTCTCTGTGTGCCTGCACCCCCATTTCCGCTTTTGAACCAACCAATTTTCAGAAAACTTGTAATTGTGACATGATGGCTGAAGGCTGGAACAGTGGAACAAAAAGAGAGCCTTGCTAGGCAACGGTGTGGTAAACACATTTTGGCAGCAGTGAATCAGCATGCAACAGTAGAGGAACTGTTGGAAGCAAAGTTTTCTGTGCTGTTTATGCTGATGCTATATAGTGAGGACCAGTGGGAAATTTAATCAGTCGGGGGTCAGAGTCGATAGCAGTCTTGAGTTGCATTATTAGCAGCCACTACCTAGCAATGACTAGTGAACAAACAGAAGTCTTTATGTGCGCTGTAGTTGTAGTGATCTATAGAGTGAGTAAATCAGAGAGACTGCTATAGTTATACTCGTATGTAGTTACAAGTTACAAATGTTCAATAAATCCAATTATCGATCCAAGCCCCCTGTCTAATCATTAACACATGATGATGAACATTATGCCATTGGGTGCCCCTCTGTCCTGCAGAATTACAGTTTATGGTGTGTTCAAAAATATCGAGCCTTCTTTTTTCCCCGCGTAAACCAATGAAGCGCGGGAGGCTCCCTTCGGTGGAGATGTGGAGGGGACATTCATGCACAGTCGTGAATTTTTTCACGCCCGCAGAAAGCGTCAGTCGCTGGCAGTCGGCCTATGAGGTAGGACGTGTAGTGAGCGCTCGTCGGATTCCAGTAAAGTGTAAAATGACAGAACAACGTGAGCAGCGATATTGAATCAAATTTTGCCAAAAGCGTGGCGATACCCAAGTGGAAACCATTCGCAAGATTCAACAGGCTTTCGGGGACGATGCCATGAGCAACTCACGGATAAAGGAGTGGTACAACCGCTTCAAAGATGGCCGCATGTCAGTGGACAGCTAACCGCATTCAGGCAGACCCTTAACAAGCCAAAATGAGAATGTCATTGAGCAAGTGCGGACTTTGGTCATGGAGGACCATCGTATCACAGTCCGAGAACTTGCGAATGAGATAGGGGTAAGAATTGGATCGCTACATTCAATTTTAACCGAGGATTTGGGCATGAGGAGAGTGTCCGCAAAATTCGTACCGAAACTGCGCATCCGATTCAGACTTTCGTCTCCAAACACAACATCCCTGTGGTTCGTCAGGCTCCCTACTCCCCCGTCATGGCTCCGTGTGACTTCTGGCTATTTCCCAAGCTGAAAATGCCACTGAAAGGGCCCGATTTGAGTCAAGAGAAGACATCATGCTGAATGCGACGGCCCGGCTGATCACCATTCCAAAAGACGCGTTCCAGAAGTGTTTCCAACAATGGCGAAAGCGCTGGGAGAAGTGTGTGCATTACCTAGGAGACTACTTTGAAGGGGATTAGGGTTTTGTGCCTCCAAATCAATATATT